TATATACACTTTAGTGGCTGCAGTTATAAATTGGAGATAGCCAAAACAGTTTTCAAAGACATGTGATGTTCATTATAGCAAAACAAAATGAATAAATTAATTAAAAATTAATGGTGATTGGGGGGAGTCGTAGCAGTAAAACAAAATTTTCATCACTTCAGCACAAAACATGGTACTAAATAATACTTGTTCGCCAAAAACAGACATTTGTCTTTAGAATGATGATGTTGATGATAATTAAATAAGTCTCTGCTTCTACTTTAAACAGAMCTCTCATAGCAGCAGCTCAGATGTTACTAATGAGCAAATGCTATGATCTCATTGATATAAAATGCTCTGTCAAAAGGTAGTCCACCCCTTTTTTCTGCCTATTGTGAGTACCATGGCTGATTGGTCACATACAAAGCAGGTCAGTTCATCCATACTGGATCAACACACACACACACGCACATAAATACACGTGCACATAAATACAAAGACTATTCAGACGTCAGTGCATGGCCCATGTGTGCTGTCTCAAAGGGAGCGTTTAGATCCCATAGGAGTTCAATGAACACAGACAGTAAAAGAAAATCCCAAGAGTGGAGGGTTAAATAAATGTTTCCACCTATGTGCACAACAATAGCTTGTTTGGTGAACAGCAGATGACACTCTCTCTGGGACAGAACAAGGGGTGAAACAGAATTCAGTTCTTGGAACTTTGCAGTTCGTGCACCATTGCAAGAACATATTTGCATACAGTGAGGAAATCACAAAATCTGTGTGCATAGATAACATTAGATGAACTGTGTTTTAATATGTTTGTAGAATCTCAGATGTATTGGGTTTTGCCTAAAAAAAACTTTTTTTATATAACAGGGAACATTTTATGCAATTACAGTGTATCTGTACCATCAATGGAGTCAATATTCTTTTAGTTTTAACAACTCGTGCATGCAAAAATATACAATAGTAAGAACAATTTTAGGGCAATTGAAGCATTTTAAATTTCTTGCAAATAACACAAAACTGTCAGTCCCTGCGTGGTATAAATGTGATGTTACTGTCTGTATACAAGTACAGACTAATATCCCCTTGAGCAGATACAAGCCACTCAGTTCAATCATGCATGTAATGATGATGTATTGATCCAACAGCACTCTAACAAGCTAATGAAGAGTCTATAAAACATTATATCAATCAATTAGCTGACACWGATGAAAAGATGTGTTATAAATACAAGGATCCTGTTTTTAAATTTTCTCTCGGGTAAATTTTCTTACCATCAAAAACTGACACCTAAAAAAAGGCAAATTCTGTTTCCCCTTTAAACTGGTTTGCAGTGAGATGCAGATGTATTTTGTGATTTTCAGTACTAAAGAAAGTCTGTACTTGTGAGAATGCAGATAGCACCAGTGGAAGGGATAGTGAGACAGATGTCAGGCACTCATTAAAGATGCAACATGGCTTACTTCCATTCCTCAGATCTTGGTAAAAKAAATGGAGCATAAGCTTCTTGCTTTGACCAAGCAGTGGGCAGAAACATCTGACCACTCTAGGTTTCATGTATGCACGCTACTACTCATTCCTACTCAGTGCACARAATATGTTTTCATACACAATGTTTTCACATTTTAAAACATTTTTGTATGCAGATAATGGACATAATGTTGTTAGAATGCAGCTGTGGATTTCTAAACTCTTACTTATCACCCTTTTTTTACCCTCGGGAGATGTCAAGCAGAGGTACATCTCTAACGTCCACCCTTCTTCACACTTCCTGCTGTTCCACCAAGACAGAGAGGTGAAAATGGAGGCTGGAGACAGTAATCGCTCTAACAGGCGGCTGATGGGCTTAACCCCCTGTGAACCTTTAAACATACAGTTTAGAGAGCCATTGACGGATGAACGCACCCAGAGATTGTGTTCAAACCACTGGACCCATGCAGTGAGATGATAACATATAAAACTCCCACACCATTAAAAAAATGTATCTTTATGACTGAATCTTTACAAATTGTGTAAAGTGGCAATTGTACTAAAGGAAAGGGATGAGGGCATGAACTTTTGTAAATGGTATGCATAGTGGAACATAGTGTTCTTTTGTTGAAAACATTTGATGGCGTAATTAAAGAACGCCTGGAGTGATTGTTGAATCACTGCAAAACACATGGAGAGAGAGAGAGAGAGAGGGAGAGAGAGAGATAGAGAGAGAGAGAGAGAGAGAGAGAGAGAGAGAGATTATAGACAGTAAATAAAATTGTGACCTTTCACCTCCTAATACACTGCATTGTTACTTTTAATAAATGACAGTTAAATGACCTCTGAAGCAGCATGAGCAGAGAAAAACGTGGTGATTGGCGCCATCTGCTGTACATAACCATTAACAATCAGCACATGGACTATTTTCTTAAAAATAACAAAAAAGAAAAGAAAAATAAATAAAAAGCAAAAATAAATAAATAAAAAGAAAGAAAGAAACTAATAACAACAACCAGATGTATGTTTCTTCTCAAATTGCTTTTATAAGCCAATAAAGATGTGTCTGAATCAACAGTTTGTCATCACACTGAACCCGAGCACACCCCTTTAATAAAACACATCGCTTGTATTCACCCTTTGGCTGTAGTTCAATGAGTGTAATATCACTATAGTCTGCTGTGCAAATGTGTTCAGTTTTGTAAACATTTGTTGCACTTCTTGAAATCTGATCTTTGTTTTAGACAAACTGGAACATTTAATCAAACTTTCCATTTGCTGCTTACTGATGCCTGAAATTGGTTTAAAACTAGTCATTTTTTAGCAATAATGATATTTATTAATTAATTAATTCACAAAACTTGCATTAGAAATGTGTGATGCCTCACAGGCCAGAAGGTYCAGGTGGGTTCGGACCTGGGTCTTTAGCTGTGGCGTTTGCACGTTCTCCTCATGCTTGTGTGCATTTTTTTTAATGTTCTACAGTTTCCTGAAGGCCAAACACGTCTACAATGTGTTTCCTTCGGGCCCAGGCCTCCTTTGAAATGGAGATTTGTGACCTCAATGGGATTTGCCTGGTTAAATAATAAATAAGTATGCTTTCTATTTATTTTTTTGCATTGAGCATTTATATAAAATTTTAACTAGCAACAACATAATTATATTCAAGCTTGTCCCTGTAAAAAAATAAAATAAAAATTTCAAATAGTCATGATGTCTAGTTTTGATTTAAAACAAAATTTAAACAAAAATAGTTTTACAGTTTGTTTTTTGATTGTTTAAAGCTGAATGTCTAATCCACCGTAACAAGACAAATGGCATAATTGTAAGAAATGGCAATCTGGAGAATTTTTTCCTAATGAGAATTTGTTCAAAATGTCCTGATGCATCTCAGTTATCCAGGTAAAAAACCAAAGGGGAAAAAAATGTATAGGTCCTCTGGACGGGTTCTTCTTTAATGAAACGTTTCGTCTCTCTTCCAAGAGACTTCTTCAGTTTGTTCAAAACATTTTTTATTCCACTAGAGGGCGCAAGTGTAAACCACATAAACAGGTCTGCGGGTGTCTGTTCTAAGACGATCAAAACGAGCTAAAAGTCACGGAATGTTGAAAAGCAAGCGTGGAAAGAATTGCCATGATTATTATTTTTTTTAATGTGTGAAAGAAGATCATTGTAGGGGTTAAATTGCCTCATAGTTGTAAAACTGGAGGTGGGGATGAATCAGAATAAGGTGAAAACCTGAACAAAATAAGTTCAACAGGTAGGCTGCATTAGCTCATTTGCTGGAACTGAAGATGCTTCAAAGTGATATGGCTGCATGAAAACGTCCCTTTACGGTAATTAAAGTGACTCCAGTCAAGGCCCTCAGCTGAGGCAGTAAATAAAGAAGGAGGGGAATGTGCGCCAGGCTTTGGCAGGAGGCATCCAGGCAGTCAGACCCACTGCAAAGTGCTCAGCGCGGGACGCTCTCGCTTCAGTCCACGCCACTCCTCATCTGCCCAGGAAGCAGACCCCCTCTGCCTGTCTCACTCTATCTGTCTGCCTGTCTGTGGTGCTCATCCTAACCAATGATGTGAAAACCAGCAGGACAGCTTTCGTCAGATGCTCCAACTAGTCGTCGCTCCCAGACTTGCGCGGTTATATTTTTCAGCTCAGCCTCACAGTTGCAGAGTCAGACTCCAGCTGGTGATCTCACGAGGAGACCTGGTGCTGTGAGATGCGGCAATGTCCCGAGGAAAATGCCCCCGCGTGAACTCMTTGGACTCCGTCTGGATCTTGACGTTGGTCACATTTGCGGTGACCGTGATGGACGGGGACGCCTACAGCTGCCGTGAGGTGAAAGCGGCTTTCCAGCTGCGGCAGGTGGGGCCACTTCACTTTGTGCCGGAGACACCTTACACAGGTAAGCCAGTGATGGAAACCTGCGAGGAGCATCTTGCTCTTGGCAAGCTTAAACTTTATTATTAGGCAATAATTATTTCATTGTGKCAGTGTTTATTATTATTTTTTTTAATGCCCCGTTGATGTCCCTGTCAAAAGCGCACGTCAGCTCAGTGGTTCCCAAAGTTAGGGTCAGGACCTCTCGTGGGGTCATGAAACACTCAGTGTGTGAGGTCTTGAAAAAATAAAAATAAAAATAAAAAAATGTGAGCTTTAACAGTTATGGCTAAGCACTTTTAAAAACAATGCATACAATGTGAAAAAGTTTTTTGATGAATATTTATTTAGTGACATGTCATGAGTCAGCAACTTTTTTTTATTTTGTGGGTCAAAACCAAAACACTTTGGGGAACCATAACGTTGGCTGACTTACTTTTTTTCACTCTATAACATCATTTTTATCACTATCCTTTTTTCCACTGATTTTATTGTATTTCCTTTCACAAATTGCTTCTTCACCTATTGCTTATCATACAAAGATTTGACACACATGCACAAAACTTATTTACATTAAAACACTTTTAATGGATTTTAAGCAGGTGCAGGCCACTTGAAGTGAAACTGATTTCAGTTTTATCCTGTTTGTCTTTATAACAAACTGAGAGACCGTTTTGCATGAGGAGAATACAAACAAATAAACAAACAAAAATGTCATGAAACACCCCAATGTCAAAATGACATGATCACAGGGGAAAAAAAAAATCATATATACATTATTATGACTCAGCACATCTATGTAAGTCCCTGCAGTACCTAAATACTATATTGTGTCCTTGCAAACATGAATTATCAAGTTTAAATTGCTGCATTATGTTTAGAATGTTACAGAGGCAGTATGTAACAGAAATATCAAAATGTATTTTTGACTGTTTATCATTATTTGCTCACATATCCCTAAATATGATTAAAAAAACGCTTTCATATATCATGCTTGTCATGCTGCTCCATGTTTTCACAGTCTGATAGTTGATCAAATCCTTTGAATTCTGAAATTGGCCTTACGACATTTGCAGCAGGTCTCTTCTCTCCTTTCTCCTGCAAGCAGAGATGGACAAAGGGAAGTTAAACTAAAAAAAATGTCATATTTCAAAGTCAAAATGGTTTGACTAATCTTAGAAAACTTGTGTTTAACTTCCTTACATATTAAATACCTTGGTGGTGTGTGACAGGAGACATCAGGCTTTATCTCTAGCCTTGACAGTATAATCAAACACCGTAGGCACCTTGTAAGAAGAGAGAACTGGGATTTCCATATTTCAGTCACCAGCAGTTCCCCCCAGCATTTTTAGGAGATGAGAGACATGTAAATGCTCTGCGAGGTGAGTATTGATGTGTTATTTAAAGACCAAGAATCCAAAAATCACCTGAGTAGCCAAAGGAATAGAGGCTCCAGATTACTTTGACTGGAACATSACAGTGAATGTAGGAAAGAGGCAGGTTGCTGACAGGGGTAACAGGGCATGCGGGCAGTAAATTGAACCAACAGATGAGTGAGATGACTGGTGAGCAGGCTGAGTTGACACTGTGCATAGCTCGAGTGCTGTTGTGCAGAGTTTGGAGCAGTTGTTTGTGTGGTCTAAGCCTGTTTTTGATTTGTGACAGCCTTTTCCATGGCATCGACCATGATCTCTGTCCAAAAAAAATAAAAAAATAAAAAAACCTCCATAATTTACATTGTGGATAAATAGTATTGTCACAGAACAAAGTTTTAAACCCAAAAGCAAGCTTAAGAAAATAGAGAATGACATTAATATGTTTTAAAGCTACACATGTGTACCGACTTATGCAGGACCGCCTATATGGACAATGTGGTGCAAGTTTATTTTCTCAAGTTCATTGTTACAAAATAAGTCAAAATATTAACAGTGATGGATTAATACAGTAACAAATTACCTATGCTACTAGTCTCCCCCCCAAAAAACAACTGAAATAGAAGCACATTTCCACCAACACTGTCTGTAAAACTTGTGCTGATTGCGTAATAGCACTAGGATGTGTGGTTTTTATTAGCTCTTTAAATGAGCGCRAAATCATTTTCTGACAGAGCCCTGTCTCTGACGGGAGCCTCAGAGTTTATCACCACTGGATTTTTTTTTGTATGAGTCTACTGACAACAACAAACTGACTTTAAAAGTCCCAGCTGATAAAAGCCTAATAATTCAGCATAGTTTGAAATGCAAATAGAAGATATTTATTTTTTATTTTCTTATTTTTTGCATAGTTGTAAATGTTAAATGAAATGTCAGTGCAAAACGATATTAAAAATACCAAGTGATGCACACATGTTGGCCGACAGATGTGTCTGATTTATAGGGTCGGTACTCCTGCTGCAGCACAGTGAGATTGCAAGGTTGGCTCCAGCTCCAGTATCACCCAGTTTGAGTCTGCTCGCTGTAACTGGAAGAAGAGTAATAGATAGCTGAGTGGGAAACATACTTGGAGGTACATCCAAACCACTTGATATGTTTGTTTTGCAGGGTGTCACTAGTAGCAACAGGGAATGTCAGTTCCATAGCATGAAGAGCAGAGGTTTTAAAGACAATGGAAGGACCTTGGATCAAAGCGTGACTGCAGTTTGGAACACAGCGTGTGTCACAGATCTTTAAAGTCGGCTCTGCAGTTGCAGAACTTGCATAAATAATCTCTTTCTGCAGACAGTAAAATAATAACTAACTAACTAACTAACTAACTAACTAACTAACTAACTAACTAACTAACTAACTAACTAACTA